TTAGCCTCTGGTTGTCTGTTTAGGGACTCATCTAATAATGTATTTTTTTCAGGGTCCTTTATGAGCTCTTTGAGGAGAATGCGGGCCTTTGTGCCCCAGAGAGGCGTGGAAATCATTTTCATAATTTACTATTTCTTCAAGGGCAGAGCGGATTTCGTTTAAGAACACAGGGTGGCCCACTTCATAGAGACCCTGTTACTAAGGCAATGGTACCTGAAGGATTCAGATTTTAAGTGGGCTGTAGTAATCCAGCAGAGACAGACGGGTAAAGGCCTGGCCACCGAGTCCTTCCCACCTAACAGAGCCACCTCCCCCACAGGGGCCAGGACCCATAGTGTAGGACCTGCTGCTGATTTGGCCAGGGCCTTGCCCCGGGAGGGGGAAAGACCTATTTCTGTAAGGCAGACTGTGCTCTACGTCCCACCTGTTTCCTCTAATTTGTTCATTCATTCATTCATTCATTCAACCACTCACTCACTCACTCATATACGCATCCATCCATCTATCCAACCATCATCCATCCATCCATCCGATTATTAAACATGTACAGGGAAGCTGGGATCCAACAGTGAACAAGGCATAGTCTATGCCTTCCAAGAGCTCAGTCTCATGGGGGAGGCCAGCATGAAAGCTGGCAAATGGAGCAGGGAGTGCCAGGTACTATGAAAGAGATATGTACCAAACATAATGGGGTCTCCATAGCAGCTCCTCCTTGGGCAAGTCAGAAAAGTTTCCAGGAGGAGAGAGGGCTGAGTTGAGCCTTAAAGCTGTAGGTGGAGGGAATAGAAGCACAAGAGGGTGGGAGCATGGAGCGTGGATGGTGGCCTTCTAGACAGAACACAACTCAGACACATTGACAAAAGACAGGATGGAGGGTTGGAGAAGTTCTGAGTAGTTGTGTGAAATGAAGATTGTGAAAACCACCCTAAAAAGGAGCCAGACTGACCCCAAGGGCTGAGAACGGCTTAAGGAGCTGTCCTTCGAGAGGATGTGCAAAGCGTGCGGAGAAGGAGTGAGGGGTGCAAGGATCCAAGCCCACACGTCAAACAAAATGGCAGGACAGTTGCCGAAAAACCGTAGGCTCATCTCCTACAGGTTAAGAACTCTGAGAGCCTCCAGCACCAGCTCTCAGCTTCAGAAGAGGTCCTCTGTGCAGCCATGATGGTAAGTAGGGCCCTGTGGAAGAGTTTACCCCAGATCTGGGAGGCAGTCTGGATCCCAGTGCCTAAGACAGCGGTCCCAGGCCAGCCCAGCGTCCCTAGATTAAAGGAGGCCTTTGCTCTCATTTCACTCGCTGCTTGGAAAGCCGCCCCCGAATTGCACATCCCTGCTGTGGAAGTCCCACGCATCCCTGGGTGTTCTGCTCCAAGGAGCCTAGCTCTTCTGAGTATGTTCTCCCCCACAGTATACGTTCAGGACCATACCTGTCACCTCATCCTGAATTCAAGTCACTTGTGTACGTGTTAGTCCCCTCAGCTGACCCCTTGTGCCCACTGAGAGGTCCTAACGTTGCTATGGAACTCTGTATCCTTCAAGCCTATAGCTCCTAAGAGATGGTAAAGTTATGCTCATTAAAAATGTCTTAGATGACCCCTCCGAGCCCCTCTGCGGACACAGAGGACCCAGGGGAGGAAGGGGAGCAGAAAGGAGCGACCGGCCGGCCCTCCTCAGCACCCCGAGACGCCGGGGGAGGCTCTCTGGAGTTGTGTTTTGCCTCTGTTTGGGGTTGAGCCTGTGTTTAGTCCCTGGTGGGTCTAGCGTTATTTTCCTCAAGGTTTCAAGGGGGTGGAAGAGCGTTTCATATTTCTCTGTTTGGCAAATAGTCTGTCCCCTGCCTCCCTTCCCAGCCATCAGGAATCTCAGAAATTAAAACCGGAGGGACTCGGGTTTCTTTCTGAGGAGAGGCCTCGACAGGAGAGGAGGGGCGGGCGCCAGACTCTGGGTTTTCTCTGCGAAGGTGGAAAGAGGGGGAAGGATCAGCCCTGGATAAAAAGCCCCAGTGCCCAGTGCGGGGAGGACCGGCTCGCTTCCCTGCCGCCTGCCAGGGGAGCACCCTTGCTTTCAAAGCTGAGAGGACAGCAGCGGTCCCCCGCTCCCTGGTGCTCCCCTTCCTTCCCTTGGGGGGAAGGGAGAAGCTTTCCGCAGGGAGAGGCGGGAGGAGCCAGGCCCAGCTGAGGGGGGGGGGGGGCCCCCAGCCCCCCCGGGGGGGGGGGGGGGGGGCCAGGAGGGCTGGGAGCCAACGGGCCCCCGAATGAGGCTTGGCGATGGCAGGCGGGCGATGTGCAGAGCGGAGCTGACACCTGAATCTCGGCTCGCCTCCCCCAGGAGAGCACTTTAATGAGGCTCACAGCTGTGATATCACAGAACGAGCATTAACAATGCTAATTACCTCAAGTTTAGCCCGAACATTCTCAACCCACCCGCCCCGGGAGCACACTGTTGTTCTGGCCCCTGCGAAAGCACTCACGGGCTGGGGCTTAGGAAAGGAGGTGACAGCAGAAAGCAGAGCACCAGGTAGGCCAGGGCGGGGTGGGGAGTGGGGGGGAGGGAGGGCAGTGGCCGCTGCAGGCCGCGGGGACCCCCAAGAGAGGAGGAGGTGAAGCCTCCTGGTCCTGACACGGATGTTCCTCTGCTTCCGCTTAAGAGGAACCCAAAGGAGAAGCCCCCGGTTGTGCGGGGCGGGGGGGGGGGCAGTCAGGCCCCCTTTGGGGAAAGCTGGGAGCAGAGACCCTATCTAACTGTACTTGGCCAAGGGTCACGGTTCCACGACGGCCTCCTGTCGTCACACTGCCTGCCGCAGCCTCAGGGGACACCCTTCGGGCCCCTACCAGGTAGCCCCAAAGATGCTTTCAAATTTGGGGATTTTTTTAAAGCAGCACAACCAGCAACATACGAAATAGATGAAATCAGTTGTGCTGGTCAACGGCTTGAGTTGAAGGTTGGGACTCAGAAAGTTTTTTTTTTCCCACCCCTGCCCTCCGAGGGCCCACGACACCCCCAAAGACCCTCCCGGAAGCCTAGGCCTCTGCAGAATTCACCTGGAAAACGAGTGTTGTGGAACAACGTAACCCTCTGGCTTCATTGTGTCCGGCATGAAGCCTGCCGTTCCACGGGACTGCGTGGAGGTAGGCTTTGCCAGGCACCCCAGAGGACCTGGGACACAGGCAGGTGGGCCTAAGCTGTGGGGGCGAAGGATGGATATGGGTGCGCGTGTGCATATCCACCTGATCCGGAAGGTGGCTCCTTACCCGAACCTGCCCGAGTTTATAGAAGTTCATGCCTGGGTCTACAAAAGTCAAACGTCACCCAACTAGACAAGGCAGGACCTTAGAGCTGCTGACTCCTCTCCCAGTGTCCTCTCTGCTCCAAGAAGGGGAAACCACATATGTCTCTCCCACAATGCCACACCCTTAGGCTCTCTCTAACATGGGGTGTTCTCCCCTTGATCCCTTCTTCTTAATCCCCTACCCCATCCCACCCCCGTCCCATGCTTTGTCCTCCCCCGCCGAGGAAAGAACCGAGGAAATCCACTCTGCTCTGACTTGAACACAAGGAGGGTCCCTCCACTTTCCCCCTCCCTCCACTATCCCTGTGACTCCCTAGAGCTACATCAGTCTCCGGGCTGTATTAGAGAACTCTCCCAGGCCCAGCTGACCACGCGCCTCGCTCAGCAACCGGGATGCAAAGCTGGGGTCAAAGTGGAAACCTCACCCCCGTCCCTGCAGACGAAAGGCCTGTGCGTGGCTGCCTGTGCCTTCTCCTGCTGGACTTTGTCATGAGCCTATACCCCGCCCGCCGCTGCTGGCATGAATGGTGCCACGTCTCACTCTGGGCGAAGGGTCTACCTTTCCGCTCTGGCCCCCCGCGTGGGGACATCGCTCGGCAGAGATGCCTCGACAACCTGCTGGCTGGCGCTCGTCTGCAGCCACATCGCTGGCCCCCGTGCCACAAGTAACCGCCCCATGTTAAGCTTGGAGAGGAGAGGCTGAAGGCACGCGGGGACCTCTGCACTAACACCCATGCTTATCGGAGAACAGGGGAGCGCCTACCCAGCCCCACGGCCAGCCATGTCCTACTGGAAAGCCCCCAGTCAATTCCAACTAAGAGCCCACTGACCGACTGAGACAGAAGTCCCTGCTTGGGTTCCAGCGCCCCCATTTCCCAACTGCCCCCAATTCGTATGTTGTTACTTGTCTGGCTTGCAAGCCCTGTGAGGGGTGGGGCCTTGTCTTCTCGGCTGCACACGCCTGCCCCATGGGACAGGCTTTATTTGCTGATTTTTCTTACATGTGGTTTCGGAAGACTGACTCCTGGCTCGCGAGCCTCAGGAAACCACTGGCCGTGTGGGTCGGGGGTCCTGCTGCTCCTTTAAGGTGGTTGCTAAGCTCCGGAGGGTCTCAGGGCAGATGTGTCTTCTACAGGCCCTCTTGCTCCTGCCTCAGGGCGGCCATCCCACTGCCTTTTATGGAAGGCCGTTTCTGACCTGAGAGGGGAGGGGTGGTGACTCGGCTGGCTCTGCTAGATGGTCCTGAGCCTGAGGTCTGTCTTTCCCCCACCACGTCCCCTTACCTCAGCCCTGAGTCATCTGTGAATCGTCCAACCCCACTCCCCCGGAAGTTCCAGGGGGTTCTCTCCCGATGCCTCTCAGAAGGGTCTTCTCCGGTGAAGCTGTAGGTTGTGTTTGTCTGCTGTGCCCACGAAAGCTGCAGGGACCGAGGCCTCCCCAGAGCTTGTGGGGGTCAGAATGCCATCACCAGCAACAACCGAGACGTGGCCCGTGTTGCTCCTGGGGTCTCCTTGCAAACACGTAGGCATCAGGCTTTCCCCGCAGCCTGACATACGTGCACGTGCACACAAGCAAACGCACACACACGTACATATGTCTTCCCACTGTGTACCCCGGTGTGAAAGGGCCCCACTCCCACAGGATCTGTACGTTTCCAGTGGATTTGTTGACGACTGGGTTGGTGGTGGGAGGGGGGAAATAACCAAAGGTTCCCAAGAGTTTCAAAGCCTTTTATTTGTTTACACATTCTCTAAATTGCAGACAAAAAAGATTCGCTACATAGGTCATCAACACTGCTAACCAACCACAGAACAAGATACTAACCACAGCAAAGAAGGGACGGGGCCTGTGACTCAGTCTTTGTGAACGTGCAAGGGCTCTGCAGAGGGACTGGGACGTCCAGGGTCCCCAAGACTGCTTGATGCCCACGTTATGCTGGCTCTGGGTGGTGACCTCTCCAAGGCCCTCCTCCCAGAACCTGGTCAGGACAGAAGCAAAGGCAGGGAGAGACGGAGGGGCCCTGGTTCACTGAGAGCCCCTCCAGGCAGCCTTCCTGAGCAAAGCAGTCCCCTCTGCCTCCTGCGAGCCTAAATCGGGATGTGGGCTGTTTGCAACCTGGAGATCCTCCTGGAGACTGTCACATACACCAGCTGTCTGGGAAGTCACAGAGCCTGCGCGTCCCCTGAGGACAGTGGGAGGCGTGGCACGGCCTCACCTCCAATACCGAGACACGAGGGATCCCGATACATCCCTAAGAGAGGGCAGAAACACCACAGCACTCTTCACTTCGGGAGCCACGGTAGAGGGGGGGACTTGACACTCAGGGGAAAGGAGCACCCCAGAAGACAGGGGAAGAGTGGCACACACACCCCTACACACTGACACTACATCACGTCACACCCGAAAGGGTCAGGGGGTGGGCGTGGGAGATTTCATGTGTCTGTTGCCGCGGTTGCTTTTCAGAGGAGCCAGTGGGGATCTCTCGCTCAGACCATTACATCCGACTTCCTAAGCCGGTAGCCCTTCTCTCTAACCTCACGGAAACTGTGCCAGCCTCAGTCCTGGACACTTTCCGAAGCACCCAAGCAGCTCAAGGAAAAGCCCCTCAGTTGTCCAGTCAGCGGAAGGTAATGTGATGCTGGAACCTTAGGTCCGGGGGTGGGGGGACGGGGGGAGGGAGTCCAAGGGAGCATAAAAGGAAGACCCTCATTAGCAGGCATCTCATTAGAGCTCACCAAGGCCAGCTCTCTCGGCCGTTCTTTGATGGCTACGAGTTTCAGAAAGAGCCGAGGTGGGGAGCAGTGCGAGAGTACAGGAGACAAGAAAGCACTTTGGAATGATGGGGGTGCACCGTGGAAAGGGGCTTCCCTCTCTTGTGCCCCCACCTGGGAGAAGGTGACCTCAGGTTTGCATCACGTCTTCACGTCCAGAGACGTACATGGAGACACAGCAATAGGAGATCGCCGGCGCATTTCCAGGGGTACCCTTTGCAAATACAGCCAAAGCAGCCTGGGGGCAATAAATTCCTGAGGCTGCGAGGCACCCGGGGTCTACTCACCAGCTGAGACAGCGCAGTAAGGACTTAAACTGACCCCCTTCCCAGACTTCTCCAACTCTGAGTCAACCAGAGGGCTTCCACGCCCTTCCCAGAACCCGCACAGGCATGAGCTTCCTCACACAGCACTCGGGCAGGCACCTCCTCCTAAGGGACCCCTTCACCCTTTCTACCCCAGCCCACTCGGAACTCGAGGGGTTCATATGCGGGGGCAGCCCCCACCCCAGCCACCAGAACCAGCCTCCTCCTGGCGAGGAACACGGTGGGGCATCAGGCAACTGGAAGAGGAAAAGCCATTTCTCTTGGCTTCTGGGCACAGATGCTCCATCTCTTGGCTCTCAAAAGGGAATGTTCGCAAAACCGGGCTTTAAGATCGCCCTCAGCCCAAACACGTCGTGGGGGTGGGGGGCAGACCTACTTGAGGACGGGCTCTTGCACCATTGCACCGTGTGACGCGGACTGCCCAGTCTCTCCTTCAGGTGTCCATTTCCTGATTGGCCCAGGGTGTCCACATCCGGCTGGGAGGGCGTGTGAGCAGACTGTGTTCGCAGCCTGAGAGTCTGCTCGCGTGGAGGTGGGAGGGAAGACCCTCTCCGAGCTCAGCCCGCGGGGCCAGCAGAGCTCTCCCACTCCCGGGTCCATCCCGCATGCAGCTGAGGGGGCCAGTGGGCTCAGAGTCTGAGGCCTCTGCCTGGGTGCGGTGCGGCCAGTCTGGCCCGGATCGGATCCAAGTCAGAGGACCCACCCCACTCTGCTGCCACCAGCACGGGAGACCGGGGGGAATCCGGGTCATTCAAAGGAGGCTTGGTTCAAAAGAACCACCGGCTTTCACGTGGGCGGTGGGTCAGACCCCAGAGAGCATTTCAGGTTCTCAAACGCTTCAAAACCAGTCTCACAGCCAGGCATCACGGAAGCCAGAGGTCCCCAAATTCTGCCCGCTCACAGCCGTGTGCTGGCCAGGGACCCCAAAGAGCCTTCTCAGGGCGTCTCCAGCGGAGAGGCCGAAGGCTGCGTTAGGCCAGCTCTGCGCTAAGGCCCACGCGAGGGCAGATGACGTGACTTCGCCCAAGCCCGGGCATCCAGCTTGAAAGCGAGCTCAGTGTGGCTGCTTCGGGGAATAACGGTGAGCAGCTGAAATCCGGCTGTCACATGTGCAGAGGAAAGGGGGGGATGGAACAAATGGTGTATTCCTGATGCTGTCAATTCAGACAACAGGGAGTCCAGTGAAGCACGAAGTCAGGAGCCGATGAGCACCTGGCCAAAGGTGGGCAGAGGGGGTTTCCTGGAAACGCCTCCAGCGCCGGGCCTCTCCCCGACGCCTGCCTCCCGCCGCCATGCTAGAACCGCGCAGGAGGCCGAGACAGGCTGGCGGGGGTCTCCGTGGGCGTCCACCCGGTCTGAGCGTGAGGCCCTCCTCCCACCATGCCCCCCTGCTCTTTCCAGTGGGGACTGGGCAAGGCTGTTGTGAGTGTCACTGTCCAGCTCTCATCAGGCCCTGCCAATTGCACCTCCCTGCCCGCCACCCCAGGAGGCCAAGGCAGGATTTGGAGGCACGGCCTCCGGTCCTCTGGCCGCTCGGCACACGCCAACCCAGGTGCCTTCGTCATCACGGAGGCTCAGGGTCACCTTCCAAGGGCAGCAGCCAGTGCTTGGGCAGACGGACACTGGCAACTAGGCTGAGGTCGACCGTGTTCTTCCCCTCCCCCGCCCCACCTCGCCCAAACTCCCAGAAGGTGGGAACAACTGAATACTTAGCCTGCTCCTCTTCTGTGGATGAATATGCATGAACACAAGGAAAGAGACCTAGAGACGCACACACCTTCCCTGATGGTACGCTACCTGGCGTGTGGTCAGAGGGCTGAGACCGAGTGTGATTTTAGAGCTGAAAAGCAGGTCGAAGCCTGGGCCAGGATGTGGTTCGTTTTTTCCCAGCCGCTCTAGGGCTTTGTGGGCCGCCCTGCACAGAACGGGTGCCCTGCCAAGTGTCTCAGCCCGTACCAGCCTGCCTGGCAATCCCTCACAGTGGGCAAGAAATGTGCACATCTTCCATCCGAGCACGAATGCCCCCTGGGCAAACGCGGCAGATAAACGACAAGCAGCCAGAATGGACATCCCTCCTCTTCCCAGCCAGAGGCACAAAGGCTCCCTGGGCATCTGACCATTTGCTGCCACGGCGCGACTTCCCTGCTTTCCCAAATGGCACACTGATGGACCAGATGCGTCGGGAAGCCAGGGCTCTCTGCCTCCCTACCCCGCCTCTCCCGCCACCTGCCCTGCCGCCACCTCCGCTCCGAGATAACCGTGCTGTATTTTCATGCTCTCACTCACATATTATCTCGCAATGTGTCTTTCCTTCCCCCCCCCCCCCCCGCCCAGTACCTAATTTAGGCCTTTTCAACTACATGTTGAAAATGTGCAGGGGGTATATTTTCTTCTTCTTCCTGCCACCATCCCACCCTTCAGCATCTAGCTTGGCAGGAGGGCAGGGAGGGGCAAGGGCAGGAAGGGAGGAGGCAGGCCCTGCAAGAGGAGAACCAAGGTCTGGGGTGCGGTGGGGTGGGGGGAGTAAACATGGAAGGGCAAAGTCAATAAGAACCACAATCCCAACTCCAGCCCATAAAATCTGTGCATCCCTTTGACAGAAAGCAGAATGGAGTCCACAACCATTGCCAAACGTGTCCCCCAGAGAAGCAGAGGTGAGTGAGGGAAGAGGGAAGAGAGTCCATGGGCCAGTGACCCTCCAAGAACAAGACTCACCCCCTGCGCTGTGCAGGGGCCGGAAGCAGGGGTGGGCCTGGCTGGACCTCAGGGAAAGAGCGCCCCCTCCCCCACTCCTTGGACAAACAGGCTCTCCCTCTTGTCCTGGAGCCACACATAGGTTCACTTTTAGTTTGTTAAGGGAGGGTGTGTGTTTTTTGTGTGTCCCTGTTTTCATCATCAATATTAATAACACTGATAGAAATAATAGAGATGCAGAGAGGCAGCCAGACAGGACGCAGTGGCATAAACATAACGTGGGGATGTTGCTGAGGGAAAATAGAGGGGCTCAAGGGCCTCCCCCATGTCCTACAGGGACCGTTCACCCACTCTCCTCTTCCCACCGCAGCAGTGTTTATGTGCCAGACTGGGTCGGTGCCGTCCTGAACGGCCACTTTGCTCGCTGCCTGGGCTAGAGGTCATTATTAGTATTTATATCTCTGCCGAAGAGGGTTCTGGCTGCCAGCCAGTCCCGGTTCCTGCCTTCCTCTGGCCTGCCCTGGGAAATGTCACCATCAGCACAAATGTTTCCTTCTCTTGGTGGGGCCAAAGAGGGGGAAACCCTGGAGTGACCCTCTTTCAAGGCACCGGAGCAAAGAAAGGGAGGCAGCTGGGAACACAGAGACTGACCGAGGGGCATTCCTGTACCCTCTGACTCCTGTTGCCCCCACCGCAGCACAGCCACCCAGGACCCTGGGGAGTCACCTCAGGTCTCAGCTGTCTGCGGGGACACACAGCCAGGGCTCGCTCAGAGCCTTCCCTGGGAACCCACCGACTTCCAGATCTTTTCTCTCCCACGGGGAGCCCCCTGTTCATTCCGGGAGACCAGCTGGATGAGGCCCAGGCAAGGCCCAGACCCCTCCCCATCCCTGCTTCCTGAGGTGCTTCCTTTGGGGCGTCTCTTCACAGCAGCCTGGGCTAGGAGCATGGAGAGGGGGCCAGGCCTTCCCAGGAGCAGCTGCTGAGATGCTCAGAGGAAGCCCCCCCGGTCCGTGTGTCTAAGGGCTCCATTCGTCCTCCCACATTCAAGGCACCTGAGCTGGTGGAAGCACTCCGGCCTCCCCGGCCCACACCCTCTAGCCATTTAGCTCCGGGACTTCTAAGTGGAAATCAGGTTTCTGGTCCCCTCCTCAAGGACCCTCCCCTGCCTTCATTGTGCTTTGCCGAACCTGAAAGACCTTTGACCCTCCCCACCTCCTTCCTCTAGGCCCCCTTCCCCCCTCCCTCTCTACAGGTGACACCACTACAGGGATACGAACCACCACAGGAGACGCCAATGCACAGCTGCGATAAGGAGCCCGGTGTGGCACATTGGGCATCTTCCCTGGGAGTGTGAGCATGACTCTGGCCCAGGGAGCCACCATTTCCTTGGGGTGTGACATAGGCACATCCTGGGGAGGGAGGGGCCTGTGGTGGGCAGCAGGGGAGGGCCTGGGTCCTCCCATTGGTAACAGGCTGAGAACCGGCCCAGGGACAGGAAAGGTGGTCCCTGGGGCTCCCTGCACCCCCCAACAAACACAGACTCAGAGAGCAAACCAGGGGCCCCTCTTCTCTGAGTCTAAAGCCTGAAGTTGCCGGCAGTCTTTCTTCAAGAGCACAGGTCTGTCTCCTAAACTTGCCCCCAATAGGAAGAGTAATAATAATCATCCCATTTTTCTTTCTTAAAATATCTGAACTTTTAAAGGGGAGGGCCGAAAGGAATCTCGTGCTGTGTTCAAAGCACAACGCCTAAAATGCACCATGAGTGTAACTCTCCAGGGTATCATGAAACCATCACTGTGAAATCCAAACCCTCCCCCAACCTTAAAACCTGTTATCTTCTCCAGCTCGGGAGGAATCTGGCCTCCCTCCTTCTCACCCACGGCTCACACACCGTACTTCCAGCCACACATCTGAGCTGGCCCCCCTGGGAAGCCACCGCTCCTCACCCCGCCTGCCTGGACTTCCCACCTGGCCCTGGAGCAATGACAGAAGGCCTTGGGATCCTGCTCCAGGTGCTCTGAGTCCGTGGGGGGGGGGGGGGGGTGAGAAGGAAATCAGGATGTAAATCTCCTAACAGAGGCCTTGTCTGGATTTCCTCATCGCCGTTGCCCGCGCTGGATTTGCTGCAGGCCCAATAAGCAGTGTTTCAGAAACATAGGGTTTCAACTTCCGGCTTGGATCGTGTAGCCTCACCTCCCCTCTGGTCAGCTAGAGCCACGGTATCAGGGTGAAGTGGAGCAAAGGCACTCGGGCTGTTCCAGGGATCTGGCCGGCAGCCAAGAGCATCATTATCTCCCCTTGGTGGCCTGTATACCCAGTGACGAGATGCCACAGGGTGGGGGCCTCCATCGTGCCAGGCCCCGAGCCAGGATCTTCGCCAGCAAAACTGCTAATCCCTGCAACAGCCGTACTGGATAGGCCACATCTCCCTACCTCCCAGATGTGGAAAATGAACCTCAGAAGGGCAAAGTCACTTGCCCAAGGTCAACCAGCTAGAAAGTAGCAGAGCTGGGCTTTAAACCAGTTTTTAAGCGAATGCCACACGGAACTGAATTACGGCCCTCTCCCGGAGTCGGTGCCCCCTTCTAGGCCACGATGATCTTGAAGAAAGGAGTATCTCAAGTATCTTCACTCTGAAATCCCCAACCCCAGGGTAAATCCCTCACCCCCACCAACAGGAGACCCACGCACGGTCCCGGTTTCCTTGTCACAGCTTCGGCCGACTGGCCCTGACCACAGGCAGCCTAGCCCCTAAAACATAAACCCATTTTGGTCAAAAGGGAGATTCTGAGAAGGCATCTAACCTTGGCTAATTCACACGAGAAGGGGGCATACAAGTCATTTCGGATCCCTCCTTGGAAAGCGCTGCTTTCCAGTGGTTATCTATATAACATTATGCCTTTTGGGTCTCCCATTGTCACTGTGGAGCAGGCAGGGAAAGTATTATTATCTCTTTTTCATAGGTGAGCAAACAGGTTCAGAGACGTTAAGTGACTTGCCCAAGGCCACACAGCTCTACTGAGTAGCAAAGACAAAACTAAAACCCTGATCATCAACGTGTATCCCATGATTCTAGCTCGTCCTCTGGGGCTCAAAGAAAGACCAATTTGAAGTTTACCACCACTTTCTCTGTTTCAATACAGCAAGTGATAAATGTGACTCTGGAGATTCTTTCTTCTTTCAGTACCCTGGAAGTGCCATCCCACGAGCTGGCTTTGCTATCCCCACTTTCCAGATGGGGAAACTGAGATCTCCAAAGAGGACAAGGTTGGACCCAGCCTAGAGGGCATGAGACTGGGAAGGGAACCCTGGACCCTCCTAATGTCCTTTCTAGAGCTCTGAGCACTCCCCGGTCCCTCCACTGCAGGATTATAGCACCTGGCCTTGCAAGATTCAATTCCTCCTCATAGCTTCTGTGGGCAGCAGGTGGGGCTGGAGGTAGAACAGGGCCACCCCATCATCTGTGTTGAGGTGGGGAACATGTGCGCACATACCCCAAAGAGGGCCTGTCAAGTAGCAGGGCCACACTTTTGGGTTTCGGACTTCCTTTTTAAACATGAAAGCCACTGCGGCATTTGGGAACATTCTGGTAACTTTTTTCTCTAAAATTAAGTCAAAGTGATTTTCAAAACCAATCGTCAGCCTTTGAGGACACCCCACTTTGGCTTTTGTGGGAGGACAGAGAGCCGGAGCAGTCGGGAGAGGACATCTGCCCCTCTGGTGTGACCCGTCTGGGTAACAGATGACGTGAAAACACAGCAGCTTTCGAAACCCTCCCTGGACCTCCAGCATCCAAAAACAGGTTCGCCAAACAGCAGGGGGAAGGAAGTATCTTATGAGGAAGATGCAAATCCCATCTGGACAGGACACTTTAAACAAGATCATTATGTATACACAGAGCTCACTCGGAGGCCATGGGCCCCTGCAGGAGAGTGACCCCCATCTCCTGCCACAGGTCACTCTGCCAGGCTGTCCGGGTCCACTGGCCAAGAGCAATTAGCCCGGGAGGGAGGCTCTTGCCAAGTCGAGGAGCGAACACTTCTGCCGGGCAGAAGTGGCCCAACTAGCTAGCCCAAGTCTCCAGGGCCTTCTTCAGGAGCTGAAGGACTAAAAATAACCTCGGCCTTTGTTGTACGCAGCCGGACCACAGAGATGGGGCTGATTTCAGGGAAGCCGAGCATGCGCGAGGGTCCCACGCACCGAGACCTGCCCTTTGGGCAAATGATTTTTCCAGAAATGTGTCAGTTATTGTGTGCTGCTGCCGTTGCCACTGCTACCGAGATTCAAAGACAGCCCGATCCGCTCCAGCCCTCGGGGCTGACTTCCAACACAGATTTCTCGGAAGCTCAGCCTCCCACCTCTTTCTTCTCAAAACATTAAAAAAAAAAAAAAAAAAAAAAGCCAGAGTCCAGCATGTACCGGGGAGCTTCGGGGACAAGAGCAGCCCTCGAGCTGAGGATTCTGCGTCGTTGCCACCGTGATCGTAAATAATCACATCCCCCCCCCCCCGCCCCCGACCCGGTTATTTGTTTAGGTGACAATCATCTCTTCCCCATCCTGAAATCTCCAGAGTCGGGTATCAGGAGATAGTAGCAAACATACACTGGGTGGAAGGAAGAAATTACTTGGGAAAAGGAATTCGTGGTGCCACATCAATACTGAAAGGTTGCTCAGAGCTGCAGTCCTTTGTATCAATGTTTAGATTCTGGGCAGCCCGCACGCACTTTCCTGGCTCTTTAGTCCCAGGGAAAGCTCCAGGCCCAGGCTGGCTGGGAGGCAGAGCCTTAGCATGTCCCCTGCCGTTGGCTGTGGCTTGTCTCACCTCAAGGATGCCCTTGAGAAGGTTAAGGAACTGCAAAGCCTGATCCTTTGCAAAGCCACTCCTGATGGATAACAAATACTGACGGGCTGTGGCGGGGCCTCAGAATTTTCCTCCCAATGTGTCTGCCCACTCCTCAGCACTTCTATTACCCTCCCCACCCCCCAGCCCCATCAAGAGACCACCCTGGCTGTAGACACCACTAGGTATCTGCTGGGGGTCCAGAAAACTGCTTTTTTTCTTCACAGAGACCAAGGAACAAAAAAAGGATTTTCATCGTCAAGATGGCCTCCCGACTCTGAGTCTAGAAGTTTCCAGGGAGGCTTGTAATAAATAACAACTTCTCCACAGCCCTTTGTTCCTCTGCTGAGTTCAGGATGAAGAGCCGAAGCAGGAGGCGGGAGGCTGTGTGAGGATTTCTTGGAACACAATAGATAGAAAACACCAAACTACACGTGAAGGACTGATAGGTGGTCACAAAACAAGCTTCCCTTAAAATGGGAGCCAGTGAGAGGGCCTCAGTGCTGGGGTAAATGTGAGGGGGTTCCACAGGGCCGGGGCTAGGGGTGTTCTTCAAAAGTGCAAGATCCTTCTGGTAGAAACAAGGAGGGAACGGCTGAAGTACCGGAACCTGTGTGTAGGAGGTAAGCAGACACCTCACCCTCTTGGTTCTACGTGGCCATGCCCTCTGTGACCACAGGTTTTCCTTACAGTTGGTCTGTCTGGATACATGGGAGCGGGGGCTTGATCTGGTTTGAGCTGGGCTCCGCCTCAGCCTCTCCAGCAACCTGGGGCCCTAGGCTTGGCAGCCAAAGGCTGAGGCCTTTTCTTTGAGCAGTTCCCAGCACAGGTGGCAGCTCCAGCTTCCTGCAAGAAACAAGATGGCGTTACCAGCAGCCGCTCTCGCACCCTCAAGCCCCGCCCCTTGGCCCTAACTCCCGCAAGCCCCGTTTCTCTTTTGACTTTCACAGCTGAGAGACTGAGTCCCCGGCCTGAAAATGCGCCGGAGCCTGCAGCTCGGCAGAGGGTAAGTGCCGCTCAGAAAAGTTAGGTGCTCGGAGGCGATCAGCTGAACTGCGGTAAAGCCCCTCATTCCTTGGCAGCCACCAGGTCTAGGCCAGTTCCCCGGGGAGGCTTCCTCCCCCACCACTTCTGCCACATGTCCAGGAAACGTCTCCTTGGCCCCCAAGTTGTCATTTCTGGGGGTGGAACCATGCCTCGGTGTTCTCATCTGTACAATGGCCGTGGCCGTACCTACTTCAAAGGATCGTGATCATTAAATGAGACAAGATACGGAAAGGCCTCAGCACAGGCCTGCACCATAGTGAGGGCTCAGGACGCGGTAGGAGTAGCTGTTGGGGCTACTGTCGACCTCATCATCATTACCTTCTGGGGGCTCAGCCACCGGGGGATTTAAACAGTACATGTGATAGCCACGGTCACAGTCATCGCAGAAGAGCAGCTGGTCCTGGCGGAGTACAGAATAGGTGGAGAGGAAGAGAGAGAGCGTGAATGATTTAGGGCCAGCGTCCGGCCCCCACCTACTCCTCCAGCCGATTCTGTGCGGATCCACCTTCCTGAATGCCCCTTTCCAGGCCCCGTTTGAAGTCTTCCCTGTCCCCTGAATATGCTTTGTGTTCTGCCCATACCTGGAAACTCCTCCTCTGCCTCCCCAACTATGCAAACCCTACCCCCACTTTAGGGTTCTGATCAAATCATACCTCCTCCAAGAAGCCTTCCTTGACTACCACCTCACTTTCAAGCTTAAAGAGATTCCTTATTCTTCTGAACTCCTGTAGCCAGTAACCCTGTCTCCATAAGGCAGAAAAACACTTTACTGCATTTCTGTGTTCCCCATGGTGACTGCCTAGTGCATAGAAAGAACTTTAAGCGTTTGAAAATTTTAACTGAAGTCCTCTTAGCCTTACCCTTTCCATCTGTGAAATGGGCAACAACCATACTTGATGGTAACATCTATGACAACTCAGAACCTTTGCAGGATTTCATTATGCCAATATAGAGAAATGCATGTGATGTGATGCCACCTTCCAGATCCCAAATGCCTCGTCAGGGGCTGGAGGCTGGAGCCCAGGTGAGAACAGGACCCTCTAGCGCTGTGTTTAACTTCCAAAGACACAGTATACACCTTTGCTCCTGTTCCTGGACACTCTCCCAGCCCCTGACCCCTGCTCTTCTGGACCATTCCCTACACACCTCAAGTCTTCCAGCTCTTCTGTTCTACAGAGATGTCACTAATCTACATCCAATGGAAGTTCTCTCTCCCCTCTTGCATCCCCATAGTGCCCTCTGACATTTAATTGCATTTTGCTTTAGGCCACAAAGCCACGTGTGGAGTAGACATGTACACACAATTGTTTTCTGGAATAGTTCCTTTCGGAATGTGCCTCCTTTGTCCTCTCCTTTACAGATCGCCAGGCCCTTGGGGCAGAACCTTGTCTGAACTCATCTCCACATTTCCTTCAGAACTGGCACACAGTAGCGATGTGTTTGTGATCTGGTCCCCATTATCCAGGTTCAGCTCTGCTCTATTCTTTGGACCTGCTTGGATGCCTTATAAGACGTTTGCAAAACTAAGTTTTGTATCAAATCTCACCCTGGCACCCCTCCGTATGGAGATCCTGGAAAAAGTAGATATTGAACTTGGAAACCCCAGTGAGCAAGCAATAAGGCAGGAGATATCATGAAAGACTTTTTTTTTTCTCTTTTAAATCATACTAACACCTTTCAGTGGTGCAATGGGAAGCTTTTGAAGAGTTAGCAACAGAGGAGTAAACTGGTCACCCATGGAATTTAGAAAGATCTCACAAGCTGCTGTGTAAGAATAGATACCTGGGTGGAAGGAGGTTCGTTCTGCAGGCTGAAAGGCTGCTTAGGATGCACTACCACCATCCAGGTGAGAGGTGAACTCTGAACTAGGGTTGTGGCATGGGGAAAAGGTAAGGGTCCTGTTCCCATTTGAAAGTTATTGATTAGATGTAGAAAATGATAAAGAAGAAATCAAGAACATTACTGGGTCGTGGCTTGGTCGGCAAGCCAGATGATACAACCACCCATTGAGACATGGGCGGAAGAGTAGAGACGTGGGACATAGAAGGCAACCTCAGCCAGAGATATGTTATATACGTCCACAGATCATGCAGTGGAGATGCCCTGGAGGCAGCCGGACAGCAGGAAAGACGCCTGATCATGAGATATGGATTTGGGAGACATTGGTGATTAAGATGACAATGGAGGTCCTAAGAGAGGAAGCCCGTGATATGTTACAGATGTCCTTGAACTTGAACTCACGGAGGGATGTCCATTAATTTCTTGAAATTATATGAACAAATTTGAAATTATATGCACAAATGTACATTTTTCGGAGAAAAGAGTAAGTCCATAGCTGTCATTGAATTTTCTGAAATATCAAGGACTCAAAAAAGGTTACTGAGATAAAGGCCAAAAACAGACCCTTGGGAATACCAACTTTAAGGGACAAGCAGAGAAAAAAGAGACTAAGGCAGCAGTCAGAGAGTTAGGATGAAAACCAGGATGGCGTGGTTTACGCCAAAAAATGTACACCACTATTTTGGAGCTGAAGTAAGCTATATGACCATATGATTTAGGAATAATACAAGGAGGAACAAGTTAGGATGGGGACAGAAAATAGGGAGAGACTTGTCAGAAACAGTATTACCAAAGTCTTTAAGACACATGACTCCTACTATAGCGCTGACACAAGAAGTACAAGAAGGTAGAATACAGTGGATTAGACTTTCCCAAAGGGAAACCAGGTGTCTCTAGATATAAATACATTTTTCATGGGTTGATTATTGTCTAGTACCACATTCTCTTCTTTTCCATGTGCTTTTCAGGATAACTGCTTGTCAGGTCCACCCAGATCGGCCAGCTCATGGTAACCCCCATGAAAAACATAATTTAAGAACCTCTTACTCCCAAGTACCAGAGAACCAGTTCCAGCACAATGGCTATAGTTCCAGCAGAATGGGAACCCTAGTCTGGAATGTGCATGGCAAATCCCTGCCTATGTGAGAGGTACCCTACTGCCCAAGCAGCCTCACCCTTGATTCCTCTCCTACAGTCAATGAGAAACCTCTGTATTAACACTGTTGGTAAAGCCAAAGACCAGGACTAACCCAAATGTCTATCAACAAGAGACTGTTTGAATTAACTAATGAAGAACTATGCAGCTGTGGGAAGAAATGAAGATTATGTCTAAATACTGTGGTGGAGTAATCTCAAAGATATCCAGTAAAAAAGCAAGGTGAGGAAAACAGGTGTGTTTGTTACTATTTTCCAAGAAAAAGCATTTTTTTTTCCTGGATTCATTATGCGTATGGGTTCATACACCTGAATTCTTACAGCTTCATACATATATACATATAATGTTATATTTAAGTAGAAAGGAAAGATAAGCCATAATTTTTTTAAAGGGCCACCTATGAGCAGAGTGAGGGAATAGTGTGAAAGAGTAGGAATAGCAGACAGATTTTCTTGAATATCCTGTTTGTTTTAATAGACCCGATTCTGGAACCAGTAAATATTTTGCATAGTCACAAGACAAAATTCACACTGTAATTTCTCTAAAAATAAAAGAAAAATGAAACAAGTGAATCTAATCATGTATGAGTTGATGGCATAACCACACAGAAAGTAACTATTTCAAGTGACTCTAAATCAAGTAGTTTGACTGTACATCCTTAGTCATCATCTTAGTTTTAAACAAAAATAAGTGTGTGTGTATGTGTATATATAAAAATATATTCCCTTTCAGCAATCATATTTTTGGTGGTAATAGTGGAATTAATATTCTGAAACTTGTACGTATCAAATGAATGATTATGTTGTTATTGAGAAGAATTTTGACATGCTTGAAAGAAAATACAGATGTAAGACCAATGAAGTTAAGTAAAAACCCTATAGTTATTCCTGAGTATGAATTAGAAGTATCCGTATAAATTCAAGTATCCATACAAATTCAGCATTTTTGTCTTTAAAACAAACAAAAACATATTTTCTAGCTGTATCCATTAAAAATGCCCCAAAACAATGACTAATGAGGTAAAAATTAGCACCCCTAGTACCCCTATTATGTTCTCTAAAGATCATTGCTGACTGAAATGAACCAGAGGTCCTTGAAGAAATGGCTGGTTCCAGGTCCAGGGCATGAAATGTATAAATAACTTCACATATTGGAAAGCAAGGAAACCATCAAATACTATTATTGGGGTCATGTCTAAAGGACTCAAGATCCAACCTGATTACATTCTCGCTGGTCAAATATAGGACAATTTTAACTGTAATGGATTGAAACAAATAAGACATATTTAAATCCTTGGGTTCATAAAGATACTATTTATAAAAAAAAAAAACAAAAACAAACCTTGTCACCTTTGGAAGAAGCTAGGGAAACATCCCTTTATTTTTTGGTTTATTATCTTGATATAATTTTAGTCGTGGAGAAAGTTGCAGAGAGTTTCTGTACCCACTTTACTCAGCTTCCCTTAGTGTTGACATCTTACATTATGGTAGGACGATCATGAAAAGCAGGATATTACCATTGACATAATACTATTGACTAATCTGCAAGCCTCATTTGAAATTCACCAGTTTTCCCACTTCTGTCTCTTTTCCCAACATCCAGTCCAGGATCTCACATTGTATTTAGTTGTCATGTATTCTTAGTGTCCTTGAATCTGTGACAGCTTCTCGGTTTGTCTTTCACGACCTTGATACTTTTGAAGAATCTAGGCCAGTGATTTTGTAGAATGTCACTCAATTTGAGTTTGTCTGATCTTTTTTCATGAGAAGATTACAAGGGTGTGCACTTTGGGCAAGAATACTACAAAAGAGATGTGGTGCCCTTCTTAGTGCGTCATATCAGGGCATTAATACCAATATGTCTTGTTACGAGTAATGTTATTCTGATCAAATAGTTTAGGCAGTGTCTGCCAGTTTTTACTATAAAGTTATAATTTTTCCGTTTGTAACGTATTAATAAGTAATCTGGTTGGGGAGATACTTTGAGATTATGCAAATAATCTCACCAATTGGCACCAATTGGTTGTTCTTGCTTACAACAACCCAAAACAGTGATGTTCGCCTATTGGTGATTTCCCTCTTCCCTCTACACTTATTAATTGGAATTCTACGCTGAGAAAGAGTTTAACTCTTCCCTATTTATTTATTCAAGTTTTTAAATAGCAGTGTGGATTTTGTTCTTCGGATTTTAATGCAACACAATCATTATTGACTTTGTTGCTCAAATTATCCCAGATTTGCCATTAGGAGTTCCTTCAAGTTAGCTCCTGTGTCCTTTAGGCATGCTTTATCAATTTTTGAGCACTTCCCTACTTTCTAGTACCACAGGATGCTCCAGACTTTTCTCGTATCTCCAGCCCTAGGATCAGCCATTTGTCCAAGGGTTCCTAATTCCTTTTACTGGAG